TATATATATATAGTTCATAAGTGGCCACCAGGATCATGCAAAGAAGAGGGAAATTGCCTATTGTAGTGTAGTTTCAAAAATGTCATTTTTAGAAACGGCATATTTTGTGCAATTCGGTTAACACGTCTTTCAACAAATACAGGGATATCTTAGGAAGTACCTTTAAGGCTCAAGTTTCAGATTTATATTTATTCGAACTTAAATTTTCGATTTATAACAAATCTTAATAAGAAAAACTATAATAAAATTTTATACAGTCGCCACTGTAGATATATTTCTGTATTGGTGATATTATTTAACTAATTAATCAGGCTGCCCTTACTCTAACAAATGCTTTTATCTACCAGAATTCACTCTGAAAACAACAATAACAACAATAAAAAACATTGCCTAGAGCATCATTAATCAAATATTTAAATTTGAAGTTTCAACTAAAACAGACACTTTGAATTTTGAAGCTATAAATGTTCAATTCCATATATAAATATTCCAAATAAGATGTTTTACAGTTTTATTATTCACAGCTTATTAAATAGAATAGAACGTTCTCAACATTAACAGCTTTTGTGGATAAAGCTCATAAACTCATTCTTATTTTTCACAAACGAGAATTCTCCTTTCTATTTTGTTCACTGGATTTATTGAATTTTGCGGGAACTTCAACAGTTATGGGGCCTCCTAGTGGTATGTCTGCAGAGTTATACCGTTAGAAACCAGGTTTCGATACCCGTGGTGAGAATAGCACAGATAGCCCTTTGTGTAGCTTTGTGTTTAATAACAAACACCACCAACAAAATAACATCCAGTTATGGGATTAATAATTGTGTGTGTGTGTGTTGTGAAGTTGGATTAGTCGTGTTAGTTACAGCGCAAGATAAGTTTATTATGTTATTCTTCTGTTACATTTAACTTGCTCTTATTATTGTACGATTCTGTTATTAATTCAATTGGTTACTTATTAATATTTATCTTAATAAATGTCAGTATTTTTTTCTTACTATCTACATCGTCCTGCTACCCGACTCTATAGAGAAAGAGTAAAATGTTTTATAGTAGTATATCGCAGATGAAAGCTGCTCTAAAAGAGCTGTTTAACTTTCATAAGAAGTTGTTAGAGAGTATTGTTTTAAGTTGTAAGGACTAATGTCAAGTTCTTCATAGAACACGAAGTCTGCAACATAACATGAAGTAAACCACTATTGCTTATATGTTCTATAAGTTATACGTTATTCTCTTTCTTGTTACTTTCATTAACATCGTCACATATGTACGGTGTTTAACATATCTGACTTTTATCATTTGTTATTATATATTCTATTATCAAGATTATTTCACATTACTAGTTTAGTATCTGGATTTAGGACTAACCTAAATCTTCTAAATTGGTCGAATCTCGTGCGATATATTTGGGATTATGGCTGAAATATCACTGACAGCAAGGGTACCCAACTGATGAAACAGTGCATTTTAATCAATACAATTAAGAACAGTATGTTAAATTACCTATATTCATTATCAAGTTAATTTTTTTAACTCTGTGAAGACAGTTAGCTTTTACCAGAAGATAATAATAATAATCAAAGACAGAAAAAAAAATCCCCATTACAATGTCAATTATATTTTTAAAACTATTTAGAAAACTTGTATACCTACATACAGATGTAAAAACCACATGTGAAGTATAAAGGTAACAGAAACAGTGGATATAATGCGTGTTTTGTTATTTTTTACAACATAGTGTAAACAAGAGTGCATATCATCAATGGTTAAAATTTTGCGCAAAGATTACTTGACTCAGTGAAGAGGCGATGCTTGTTTGGGTCCCTGTACCAGCTTCTTATCGCTTTAGAATTAAATATCAAGGCATGTGTGTGTTTTTATCTGCTTGAGCAAATTGTGTGATTGTAATTAAGATTTTAATAGTTTCTGCTATTGGATCCAAACAAGTCATGAACTGATGAGTGTTATATAAATATAATAATAACCTACATCCAGACCCAAAAATTAAAAATAAGTATTTTACACCCAACCAAGAATAATATTTATCATCACAAAGTGTACTTGTAACTTTTTTTTAAAGATATCGTTTAAAAAGTTGTGTAGTTTAATTATATCAATCCATCCAGAAAATGCTTTTGATAATTTTGATATCTTCAAAGACAAACAAAGGACAGCGGTAAATCTATGGACTTACAATGCTAAAATCCTGGATTCGATTCCTCGCAGTTGACACAGTAGATAGTCAAATGTGTCTTTGCTTTAAAAAATAAACAAGCTGGTGTTATTATTGACAGTAGATACAAAAAGAAAACCAACCAACGAAACATTAATGAAACATTCAAGTAAAAGAAAATCATAAAATGTACAAAGACATTCATGAAAAATAACTAATATTATAATATTAAAAAATTAATATGTATATTAATCTATAAGTACAACTAGTTTAAATGTGGTTCTTCAGTGTAAAACAAAAAAAAAAAACAATAACTTTAAGATAAAAAAAATCTTCACACCTGAGTTAAAGAGCTTGGAAATAATATTCATAAGTAAGTTTAGTGTAGAGAATAACAATAATCCAAGCACCGATTTGTTTCTAAGAGACGATATAAATATAATAAGTGTGTTGTCTATTACAGCAGTAGAAATGCAGTATTTCAAGATCTATACATATATTTCAACCAGCTTCTTCTCCCAGAGCTTGCAGACATGCCATCAATCATAGCGTCGTAAGCGAACTTTATCCAGTATCGGATCTTTGACCTGTAGTTATATGTTTTTAACTGCTTCCAAATAAACTGTATTATCATCTCGTAAACCGTACTTATTTTCACGATGAATCGTTTGTTTTTTTTTCTGTTTTAAAGAATATTCAGTGCGCTTGTATAATATACCAAATTTTAAGAAAAAAAGTATCCATTAGTTATATACGTTTATACGAAACAATTATAAAAACACTGAAAACAATTTATCATATAAGTACTTAACCACACACATTAACAGAGACATAACTGCTCAGGATATACAACAATGTTATTTCATTATTTCTCTGAAATTAGTATATTGTTTTATAGTCTGCCATTCTAGCCAATTCAATAATGGTGAATCTCAGAATAAAGTAAGGATTTGATTGTTTACTAGCTGGAGTACCCATCTCCTGGACGGAAATTATGTAAATTCATGATTAATAAAAGGTTATCTTAGGACATGAAAAGTTTCTTCCCTTATATGTAATTGTAAAAACCACTAAAACGCCCATAAAAACAGCAAAACACAAAATGTAAACCGCAAATTTGCATGTATCTCCGCATGGACTCAACAAATCTTCATGCCAAATTTGGTGAAAATCTATCAACAGGGAGCGAAATACTAGTTTAAAAAACGCAAAAACGCCCATAAAAACCGCAAAACTGAAAATTTGTATGTACCCCTGCCTGGACCTAATGAGCCTCTATACCAATTTTGGTGAAGATACACCCACACTCTGCGAAGTAGTTAACTGGACATACAACAAAAAAGAGACATTATTATTATATTTATATAGATACATATAATTGGCGGTTTCCTGTTTAAGAAAACAGGAAACTTTAACCAATAAGAGATTATCAGCTACCTAAATGTGAAGAAGAGAAGGAATTTCTTTTTCTTCATTTAATTAAACAACAGCTAATCTCTAGTCGACTAACATATATTCCTTTCTCTTCTTTCAACTAACAGCTAATCTTGTATCGACCAAGATATATTTCTTTCTTTTCATTCAACCAATAGTAAATCTCTAATCGACTCTCTTCATTCAAGCAACAACCAATCGCTATGTAATAGAAAAAAAATAGTTAGTGCTGCGTTTATTTTTTATGTTTACAAAAGTAGAAATGAGGTTATGAATATGAGATCTTTACCATGAGAGGGACATCAAACGTCTGACGAGTTTTTGAAGAGCCTGGAACTATAAAATTCAGCACTAAATCACTGCTTAGCAGAAACATATATCTTCAAATTGTTACCCGGTAATCTTAAACCAGCCAATATCGTCGTTCATTCAAGCAACTGTTAAATAACTTTTATGTTCTTATATTTTTAATTTTGGCATTAGTTAATCTTTTAACACTTGATATATTCTATTTTCTCGTGTAAACAACGACTAATCTCTGATCGAATAACATATAGAGACTACTTGCATTAGTACTAAATTTAATACGCATATACTTCAAAGAGAAAACATGTAACTCAATTTTCTTGCCCCCCAGTGGCACAGCGGCATGTCTGCGGACTTACAACACTAGAATCCGGGTTTCGATACCCGTGGTGGGCAGAGCACAGATAGCCCTTGTGTAGCTTTGTGCATAATTAAAAACAAAAACAATTTTCTTTAAATTAATCAGTAAAAGCAAAAAATAATGATAAAAACTGGGTATCATATAAAAATCACTAATATTAAAACAAGTTTTTAAAATGAATATTTTTTAAATTAACTATATTTCTAATTGCACCACTTTATTAACAATTTTGAGTCTTATAATGCCTTTCACACTTCCTATCCTGCAACACAAATAACTAAATGAAAGCGACATTAGGTGTATATTATATAAATAATAAGCCTTTTAAAAACGTGTAGTGTGCGTTTCAAACACAGTATAATTATAAAATATGTTTTATTAAAAGTTCTAAAACCATATTCGAGTGTATTATAACTATCTGACGCATAACAAAAACCATTTCACTATGTTAACTCTCTAATATCTGTTCCTGAGAAGAAGCACTCGCACAGTACCTAACGCCAGGTCCTGTGTGAGAGTGACAGAGCCCTATCAGTGAACACCGGGGATTAAAAACAGCTAGAGCGTTCTCTGACACGCTGAGAGTTTAGTTATGAAAGACACTTAATGTCGGGAGTAAAATATATATAGCTTATTTTTATAAACATATTTTTAGCTTTTAAAGCGTTGGGACTGAGCTCCAATTTCAGTTGCCAAAGCGGCGCTCCAGCGCGCTCTGGTAGCAGTACACCCCTGAATGCTAAAGAATAAACATATTAGCTAATCCCATGCAAGACGAGATATTTCTAGAGTGAATTAATTGCGACCTAATAGCTGACTTCAAGGTGATTTAATTATGAAAATGAATGAGCAGAGATGTATTAGCCTATCATAAGATGATTAGTTACCGAAACGAAAGATTATGTATTTATTAACTCATCTCGAGAGAGATAATTACTGGAATGAAAAATATAGTAACGTATTAACAGATTCTAGACAAGCGGTTAAAAGAATTAAAAAAAAAGAGAACTGGATGAATTTCACACTTTTAACTTGAAAAAGAAAGGAATAACTAGAAACATTATATATATCTATATAATTATGTTAATTGACCTATATATCTGCATGACCACAACTTGAATGGTCTGGTGTACTCCGAAACGAAATAAACGGTCTCACTTTTCCTTTCTATCGAGTTGTGCATTTTCTGCTTTGAAAAAGAGTATCATTCTTAATGAATAAAGTAACGTGAAGCTAAACAATTCTCTATTCCTGGAGTAGCCATTTTCATTAAATAGTAATTAAGGTGTGGAACTGTGGATCAAAGAGTTTAGGATTGAAGATGTGAGACTGCTACACGAACCCCGCTCTTTATTTGTGAACAGCTCTACAAATGACATTCAGTTTACAGTTCTTGTGATGGTGGATGCTGCAGTTGGTTGGTTGCCTCCCTTCTGGCCAGTTGTTCAAAATTAAGGGCAGCTATATCTGAATCCTAGGGGGGTTTCTGTTCTGGAAGTTAATCCCAAAGGCGCATAAGTAGCCGTAGAAGTTGAAAATTCCAATTTGAATTTTAAATCCTTCTCACTTGATTAAACAAATAAGTTATACATTACGTACCCCTGTTTGAAGTGCAGTTAAGAGATTATTAAAAAGTAAAGCTAGATGATTAAGTGCACACTCTGAATGGGTGAAGTCGATGAAAATGGTTTCAGTGCCCTAGCTGTTTGTTCTTCATCATCAGATAATGTACTGCAGAAGCCCTTTAACTGGAAATGAATGATGAAGTTGAAACCTTTGACTAAAAATTGTGAAAGATAAAATTCCGAATCAAAGACGGAAGCCACACAACTTTAAAAAATACTTTTTGTTTGTGTATAACCAAGTAATTAAAACTTCTAAATGTGCTTAGTGTGCTTTTAACCCTTTATGCATCAGCTATATCTAGCCTTTCCACAGTGAGAGCTAGGAGGTCTAGTGTAGCCTAGTGGTTATCTTGTCGATCTGCGGATCCAACGTTCTCGTCCTGTTATCGCATGAAACAAAATCGCTCTTTGGTTTGTGGGTGCGTTATAAGGCTGACAGTCAAAACTCATCCCCCAGTGGCACAGCGGTATGTCTGCGGACTTACAACACTAGAAACCGGGTTTCGATACCCGTGGTGGGCAGAGCGCAGATAGCCCTTTGTGTAGCTTTGTGCTTAACTACAATGAAACAAACAGCCAAAAATCGCTGTTCGATCAGAATAAGAATATTCAAAGAAGAATTATTAGGTCCATCCCCCCTCTCAAAGAAATATCTAGGAATATTTTTTTACATAATTATCAAACGCATACATAAATGTGCTGTTTTTTTATTTTGTTCCCTATTTTTATACAGACAAGCACGGAGAACGTGATTCAAGATATTTATAAATCTTAGAAACAGGACTTGTAAAAACTAATTATGAATTGAAAATGTGGTTAATTATTTTGATAAATCGTATTTATGACGTTACACAAATATCCGAAAAAACAACAACAAAAAATAGAGTGCTGGGAAGTCACGTTCATGTTACTCGGTGGGTCAGAAGTAAGTTTACGGACTTATAATACTAAAAGCCGGAGTTCTATTCTCCTCAGTAGACAACTCAAATAGCCCATTGTGTAGCTTAATGATAAAAACAGAAACAACAACGACAAAAATCGGTTCACAATAGCTAATGAACGATGTGTTGCTCTAAACAGCTGCAAATGAAAATGATAACATACTTTGGGTGTATATTTGTAAGGCACCTCTAGACAGACTATTAATATAGGTACTTAGATTCTCCGTAGTAATTGAAGCATCTTGTTATTTGTGTTGACTAAATAAACAATAATGATATACTCTTTTGCACGATGAAGGGTTTGTTTTTTAATAGCTGTTACACATAAATGCATCGTTTTCACCATTACGAACTATATAAAAGATACATTTTTTCCAAGTACTTCGAATGAATTTGTTTGTTTCAGTTGCCTCCACA